AAACTCCCACAGGGGGGCTAGAGAGATGGATCAGAGGTTAAGAGCACTGGCTGTTCTTCCAGAGGTCCTGAGTTCAATTCCCGGCAACCACATGGTGGCTCACAACCATCTATAATGCGATTTGATGCCCTCTTCTGGTATAAAGGCATATATGAAGACAGAGCACTCATACATTAAAATAAACAAATAAAATTTTAAAAAGAAAAATACAAAAAGGAAGGAAGCTATGCTGATCACTATACCACCAATGCAATGAGCCAGGACTGTTACACAGAGACACAGTGGCTTGAAAAACCAAAAAGAAAGCAAACAAACAAAAACCACACACACAAAAAAATCAAAACTCCAAAACCAAACCAAACAAATAAAAACTTCCACAAGGAGTTTCAGTGACCTAGCCTAGGGTAGGGTCAGCCTCAACAAGCTTAACAGTTGAGAGTAGGGATCCAGCAGCAATCCCCAAAGGACAAATGACTTGCAATTGAAAGTAGAAAGGATGTTAAATTCTGGGCTTACAGAACCTTCAGAAGTCCACCATCAGAGAGATGACCATGTAACTCAATGTAAGATCCCACCCCCAACCAGTCTAGAATCTTTCAAGAATAATAGAAGGCACTTTAAATATTTATGTCAGGACAGCAGGCACACTCACCACTTTTCTGGTTGTCGTGGCAAAGAAACTGACAAAAACAGTTTAAGGAAAGGGGGGTTTACTCGGGCTCTGTTGTGGTAAGGGAGAGCCTATCAGTAGGAACATGGGCAGCTTTGGCTCCACAGTGGTAGGACAGCCTAACAGTAGGAGCACAGGCAGCAGTCGAGCTACATCTGCTGTTGGGAAGCAGATGGAGGCAAACACTCCTGTCCCTGGCTTTCTCCCTTGTATTCAATCCTGGACCCTGACCACGTTTCTGTTCACACTGCTTAGGTCAGCAATACCTTCCCTGAGTTCCTCAAGTCCATTCAAAGCTCCCCAGAGTCCCTGTGTCACCTGCCTCAGCCTTCTCAGCTTTCTGTAGCCCCTCTGGGCCCTGCTCAGGCTTTCTTTGGGGCGTGGCCCCTCTCTTTCCTGTGGTGTAAGGGATTTTTGTAGTCTTGTTTGTTTCCTGGCTTCTGCTACTGTAGCACTCAAGTACTGACCAGACTCCCCTAGCTGTTGACTAGGCCAGGTTCACTCCCAAGCTGTGTGCCTCCCTCCAGCCCGGAGCCCTGTCCCCTCCCAATGTGCTCCTGGTATCAGTCACTCAGAAAGCCAACGAGCTTCTCACGCAAAGGCATATAAACTTTGACCTCGGATTGAGTGTTAAACTCTGTGCCAAGGTCTCCAAACCTTCTGCCTGTCAATTAGCAAGGGATTAGCCAGGGCCCCATTCCTTCCATTGTGGCTGGTAGCCTAGACAAGTCTTAGTGATAGTGAAGGTAAGTTCCCCATTACTCCAGAGCACAGGATCTGGGGAGGTGAAGGTCTAGGCTTAGAGTATGAGCTTGTGGCCAAGGCTTCCCTTAGCAGAAAGAGTCATTGCCTAGAAGCAAGATGCCAGAGTTTTAGACTCTGATTTCATCTTTCCCAGGTCACTGGGCCTGTTCTTTCTGGCATTAGTTTCTCCAGCTGAGAAGGAAAAGAGGGAGGGTTTTATTAGTTAATAAAGGCTTTGGAGTCAAAAGCCTGGTAGAGAACATGAGCTAAACAATGGGGCTTCCTGTGTTCCTGGCGCACGCCCCAGAACTAGGTCTTCCAGCTATGAGGAGCAGGTTTCCATGACTCTCTGGAGCTAAGGTATTGGTAGGGACAACAGAAAAAAGGAGGAAGAGAGTGACTGGAGAGTAGGCTGAGGGATCTAGAAGGGTCTTACTCCTACTTCCTGGCCAGGATTTATTTCTACAGAAGCTCTTTCAGCTTTCTGGTTCTTGCTCCAAAATGGGTACCATGAAATTTCTTAGTGGGAGTCAGAGATGCGGTGAGTGGAATGACTGTAAAGACACGGAGAAGGCCCACTTCTCCTTCTGTGTATCCTGCTTGCTCTGTTGCACAATCTATCCACTCTCCTTCCTTTTCTCCTCTTTGTCTTCCTCCTCCTCCACCTCCTCCTCCTCCTCCTCCTCCTCGTTTTTACTTTTGTCAGTCTTGCTATGTCTGCTATCTAATCCTGGCTGGTCTAATAATACTATGTAGCCCAAACTGACCTTGAACTCATGAAAATCACCTTGCTTCAGCTTCCCTAGTACTAGGGTTATAGGTATGTACCACCATGCCCAGCACTTGTTCCCTAATTTTTATTGTCACATACTTGGGGCTCAATACCACTGTTGCCATGTACCCATTTATAATGCAGTTTTGACCACCATTTTTCTACCTCATAAAGACTTGTATATCTGATTAATTTTCCACATGCAGATTTTCTGCATTGGGCACAGAGGAAGAAGAAACAGATTGGATAAGGATCATAGCTATGAAGAAGTTCTGGGACTGACATCAGTGAACTCCAACTTGCTGTGGAGAGGATCCGGGGGAAGCTGTCTTTTATTTAAGACTCAAAATTGGCACTACTAGAAGCCTAGATGGGCAGACCCGGTAGATTCTGCAAGAAGTTCTGGTTTATGTCTTCAGATACCAAAGCATTTAAGCTAAAGTGGTAACAGGAAGTTTGTACACACTCTGGGAGGCACAGAAGGGGAAGAAAGAGTTGAAAGGATCAAGAAGCAAAGGGGAATCCATTCCTGAGGGAGTAGCAATAGGGACCTGGATGAGATTATGGCCATGGGGCTAGACAGATGTCAAAATGGACAGACGTATTCTTGGCCTGTGTAATCTTGCTCAGGTCGCCCCAGCCCACACTACAGATTCTCATTCTCATTCTCATTCTCCTCGTGGGGTACTTCTTGCACAGCGGCAAATGTCAAGAGAGCATCCTCCTCTGATTCCCACAACCTCTGCACATAAAAAGCACATCTGGGCCGGGCGTTGGTGGCGCACGCCTTTAATCCCAGCACTCGGGAGGCAGAGGCAGGCGGATCTCTGTGAGTTCGAGTCCAGCCTGGACTACCAAGCGAGTTCCAGGACAGCCTCCAAAACAATACAGAGAAACCCTGTCTCGAAAAACCAAAAAAAAAAAAAAAAAAAAAAAGCACATCTGGAACCACTGTGCCTAGGAGGTGTACCCTCTATCAGGTGCATCCTCCAGGTAGATGCCTGGGAGACTTGATTCTTCATTCCACCATTTTAACCCTGCTCAGTGTCACCTCAGGCAGCATTCCCCTGGCCACCCCATTTGCAGTTGTTATCACTTTTGTTTCTGTTGCCCCCTTTTTTTTGCACCATGCCAGTCTCTGTGTTTTGTTGCTTATCACCTGTCTCCCCCACCAGAGGGTAAACTCCGTCAAAGGCATTGCTAGATTCGTTCCTAGTGCCCAGAGCATAGTAGGACCTTGCAAATTGGTGAGCAATGCAGTAGAATGGGAGGTGAGGGAGTGGATGAGGTTTTTTTGTTTTGTTTCACTTTGTTTCCCCCCCCCCCCCCCCCCTGGTTTTGGTCACAGAGCAGATGGCAGCATTATTTCTTGGTTTGGGATCTCACAATGGAGGGAAACTGAAGATGTTAGCTAGGGACAGATTGAGCTGAGTTAACAAGTTTAGCTTTTCTCCTTAGACATCTTACTTTGGGAGCCCTATTCAGGGCCCCAGAGTGCCTGCAAACCAGCCAGCTAGGCGTGCCGGGTGGTGCTGGGTGTCCTGCCACTAAAAATGTGGACACACGCTGTCAGGCCTTGTCAGGCCTTTGCTCTCAGGCAGAAGCCAGGCTCTGCACGCAAACCTGGCCCTTTGCACCGCCCGACTCTGTTTAGTCGCACCCTTGCAAAGCTTAGAATACTTCTATCTCTCAAGCCCCACCCCAACGCCCCAAGACAGACTGGCCCTTTAAGAGCCTCACCCCCCCCCGCCTTCCCCTCCCGCTGCTAGCGTGACTGCACTGGGACCCGCGCCCGGTTGTGAGCTGAGTAGCTGGGTGGCTGCGCGCGGGCCTCCAGGCACTTCTCACGCTACTCACGGGCACCTCGCCCCCAGCCAGGTGGGGCAGGACAGGCAGGCTGACCTCTGCCCCGGAGGATGTAGCAATCTCACGCACGCACACCTCAAGCTTGCGTGCGTGCGCACCGAGCTCCCCTCCACTATGTGGCCCCTGATCCTCCTGCCGACTCGCGTGGATCCCTTCCTCCACTCTTTCCTCCACTGTTCGCAGCTAGTTCCACAGCTACCCGCCACTTGATTTCTCTTTGTGGTCTGCTTCTATATGCAAAACATTAGCAAGACCCTGAGCTGCAAGAGGGGTCTCTCGGGCTTGTAGATTGCCTAAGGTGACCCTAGAGGTGCGATCTGCACACCCTCTATCATCCCCACCCCTAGATCAAGCAGCATGAACTTCGGCCGATACCGAATCTGTGGGGGACAGAGTCAGTCCAATGGCGCCACTGGTCTTCCTGTCCGTGACCTCGGGGCTGGGGTCGTTGTGCTTCTCACGCGAGCTTGGACTCAGGAACCAGAGAAGGAAAGTCACCAAGTCACCACCCAGCAGCTCTTCCTCCACCAGCCTTTCCTGGCATCCATTAGCTTGAAGTGGGAGAGAGAATTTTACACATTCAGTGTTTTCGGGCACAAAAATAGTGGAATGGAATCTCCTCCGTTGCCCGGAATGGAGGCCCCAATAATTGCTTTGTAGGCTGTCATAGGATTTCCCCCTCGAACCCCTCCTTCAACAGAATTCTATGCTGTTCATGGAGAACCTTGAAAGTGGTGGTGACCCCAGCCTTCACTTTTTAGTGTGCCCGCACCTATATTAGCTGTCCTTATAATGGCTTCTTGCCTATCTCCCCCACCCCCACCCACACCTAGAGCACTCCCTAAGGCTGCCCCTCCCGCTGTCCCACCACTGGGCTCCAAGGAAGAGGGCGTGGCCACAGACACAGAGTCCTATAAAGGTGGTGGTGCCTTCACCCTGACCCTGCAGGTTCCTTGGATCTTTCCCTGATCCACTTTGGGGTATCCTGAGAGCACACTTTTAGTTCAGCACCTCCTCACAACCAACGGTGAGTACTGAGGGCTCCTGGCTTGCCCCTCCTTCCCCAGAAAGGGGAAGTTTGGATGAAGGGCTGCTGGGTAGCCCCTCCATGATAAGAGACTAGGATCCTTTTTTGTGGTCATGCAAATTCCTTAGAGGAGAAAGTGAGGGCAGAGAACTAAAAGGACTTCCGAAGTTCCAGTAGCTAGCGTCAGATCTTTAGATGCAAATGAATATCCTCTACTCTCAGGTTAACTTCATTGCCTCACTAATCAGTGGGGGTGGGGGCTTCCCCATTCTTGCACATGTAGCCCCATCCTCAGGACTGCCAGTGGGGGAAGAGGGCTGCTGTCTGGCTGGGTAGGGTGGATACAGAGGAGACACACTGAGTTTTTCCTAGCTGTACTCTGTCTTATTTAAAAACTGCCCCTGAGAGCCTCCACCCTCCCAAAGGGTAGCATGTCAGAGCTGAGAGTTTCTGGATGGCTTCAGCAAGAACCTGGGGCACCACCCTCGGCTCAGGGGTTCCCAGCCCCATCCTTTCTGGGATACAACCTGCTTGATAGACTGTTAGCTGGTGGAAACACAAGTTGCATTTCCCCTGGCTCTTCTATCTTACAAAGACTAGAAGCCCTTGGGGATACCAATTATGTTGAAGGAGAAACCATTGTGACCAGGCTGGCAGTATCCCCACTTCACTGAAGGAATTGAGTCTCTTGTATGTTTGAGAGTTAGCTCCTCCAGGAAGCCCCCTCTCACTTCAAGGTGACTGTACTATTTGGGGTAGGAATTGTACATCTTGCCTTCTGTGGTTCAGATCTTCTTTTCCCAGGATCTGTAACCTCTGAATCGGGCAATCTTTTGTTTGTTTATTTGTTTTTGAGACAGGGTTTCTCTGTATTGTTTTGGAGGCTGTCCTGAAACTCGCTCTGTAGACCAGGCTGGCCTCGAACTCACAGAGATCTGCCTGCCTCTGCCTCCCCAGTGCTGGGATTAAAGGTGTGCACCACCAACACCCGGCATACCTTTTCTAGAACAAGCCTAAAGAGAAAGTGTCCTCTTAGTTTTTGTTGTGTTGAGATCCACTCTTGGCTTTTCTGATTTCAGTCAGTAGTTTCCTTACAGCCCTAGTCTGATGGGAATCTTCCATTTATTTTTTTGCTTTCTAACACCTGCAAAAGTGGGAGAAGCTCAGGCTATTCATTCATGAGAACTGAGCACAACAAAAAGCCTGGCTTGGATTGCTCCTACTAGGAGCCATTTGTGGCTGCTTTTAAAGTGTGGCTCAGTTGAACTCAAAGAACTAAAGCTGAGAGAAATGTGGCTTGGGTGTTAATTTTCTGTACCCTCTCCCATTCCTGTCTACTACTGGGTTCATGTGGGATTCTGTATACCTTGAGATGAACAGAAAAACCTGATAACTAATTTTTTCCCCAAAGGGAGGCACCTGTGATAGTAACTCGGCATTCCCTGGAACTTTCCCTAAGAGCTTTGAGTCCTGGCCCTGTCACTGTTACTGAATGACTTGGGCAAGTCAGTGACCCAACTGCAGGTTTATTTCCCTGTTAGAGTATGAAATGAGGCTGACGGAGCAAATGATCTCTATTTCCCTATCGGATGGCTTCCCTAAAAGTGGCGGGTAAGACCCAAAGAGACTTCTTGGGTGATATGTGCTAATTGTGCATTTATTGGAATGGGTTGGGAGTTGGAAGCTGTATTTAGACACAGAGGTTGTTTAAGATCATGCTGCCTGGGCTGGAGAGATGGCTCAGCTGTTAAAGGCTAGGCTCACAACCAAAATACAAGATGATGCTGCTTGGTGGATGTAAAACTGATTTTAGGAAATACGAAGTAAATGACAGCATTGGGGTTAATGGAAACCAAAGACACTGGAAGTCACTGTTTGAAATCTCACCACAGAAGTTAAGAGAGGTTTTCTGGAAGTAGCTGTGTAACTTTGAGAATGTTACTTACCCTTTCTGAGTCTTACTACAGCCTTCCTCATAGGCTTAGGGCTAAGGTTGAATAAAAAATGACTGTGTGTGTGTGAGGAGTATGATCAAACCAAACCACACTTAGCTTCCAGGGTATTGAGACTTCTCTATAAGAGAGTTCAGTTCAGGCTGGAGAGATGGCTCAGAGGTTAAGAGCACTGGTTGCTCTTCCAGAGAACCTGGGTTCAATTCCCAGCACCCACATGGCAGCTCACAACTGTCTGTAATTCCAGCTCTAGAGGACCTGACATCTTCATAGAGACATTCATGCAGGTAAAACACCAATGCGCATAAAAATAAATAAACTTAAAAAGAGAGAGTTCAGTTCACCTGACCCCAGCTTTCTGTGTGTGGAGAAAAGAGAACTGTGGAATTTTTGGCATATGGTGGCAGCTCAACAATCTCTGTCTCCCTCCATGCCTAGTGAGCAGCTCTAGGCTCCTTTTTTCCTTGGCCAGCATGGCGACCCTTTAAGATATTCGTCTCTCGCCCTCAATCTGATGGCCTGTCTTTTCTTTCTTCTTGTCTCACCTCTCAGCAGCCGTCTAGATCATGTCTTCCATATATGGACTTCTAAACTTCATGTCAGCCACAGAGCTACTCCTGGCCATCACTGTCTTCTGCCTGGGATTCTGGGTGGTCAGAGCTTTAAGAACCCAGGTCCCCAAAGGCTTGAAGACTCCACCAGGGCCCTGGGGCTTGCCCATTCTTGGGCATGTGCTGACCCTGGGGAAGAACCCACACCTGTCGCTGACAAAGCTGAGTAAGCAGTATGGGGATGTACTGCAGATCCGCATTGGCTCCACACCTGTGGTGGTGCTGAGTGGCCTGGACACCATCCGGCAGGCCCTGGTGCGGCAGGGAGATGACTTCAAGGGCCGGCCAGACTTCTACAGTTTCACACTTATCACTAATGGCAAGAGCATGACCTTCAACCCAGACTGTGGACCAGTGTGGGCTGCCCGGCGGCGCCTGGCCCAGGATGCCCTGAAAAGTTTCTCTATAGCCTTAGACCCAGCTTCTGCATCTTCTTGCTACTTGGAGGAGTACGTGATCAAGGAGGCTGATTACCTAATTAGCAAGTTCCAGAAACTGATGGCAGAGGTTGGCCACTTTGACCCTGATAGGTATTTGGTAGTGTCAGTGACCAATGTTATCTGTGCCATGTGCTTTGGCCAACGTTATGACCATGATGACCAAGAGCTGCTTAGCATAGTCAATCTGAGCAATGAGTTTGGGAAAGTTACCGGCTCTGGGTACCCACCTGACTTCATCCCTATCCTCCGCTACCTACCTAACTCTTCCCTGGATGCCTTCAAGGACTTGAATAAGAAGTTCTACAGCTTCATGCAGAAGTCAGTCAAAGAGCACTACAGAACATTTGAGAAGGTAGAGTCTGGGGAGAGGCAGGTGGTTGTGGGAGGCTGGCAGGGGCCGGGGCCAGAGCATCACAGGCAGGTTTGAAGCCAGTAGCAGAGTGTACCCCATCTTCAGCAACCAATGGAACTTCTCTTGGCCATTTCTTCCATGCATCCATCAGACGAGAGCCACCGAAGAAGGGGAGCCCTGGGCCAGTTCTTACTGGATCAGGAAGAATTTAAAAACCTGTCTCCTGGTCTCATGGTAGAAAAAAATTAAAGAACATCTACTTATCAAGAGTGTCAGGCTCTGTGCCTCTAGGGTCCCTTGAGTTGGGGGGGGCAACCAGTACTCTGAGGTAGGAAAGAGACTTGGAGAGGCAACGAGAAGCTAGGACAGCAGCCTCAGAGTGTCACCTCCTGAACAAAGGTGCTATTGACTTTGAGGGGCCAGGCCTAGATACAGGTCTGTCTGGACTTGGGATATGTCTCACCTTGTGCTCCTTTGCCCCCAGGGTCACATCCGGGACATCACAGACAGCCTCATTGAGCACTGTCAGGACAAAAGTTTGGACGAGAATGCCAATGTCCAGTTGTCCGACGACAGGGTCATTAATATCATTGTTGACCTCTTTGGAGCTGGTATGTGCTCTTCAGTGTATCATTTCTGTGCTCAGGTGCCCCAAGCTGCCACATAACTAACTTCTCCCTCTGTTCTATCCTGTTCAGGGTTTGACACAGTCACAACTGCTATCTCTTGGAGTCTCATGTACTTGGTGACAAACCCTGGGGTGCAGAGAAAGATCCAGGAGGAGCTAGGTAGGTGGTGACTCCATTCAAGGGACTCTAAGTAGGACACTGTGATAAAGTCTGGGCAACCCCTTTAATACTCTTGAATCCCCATGTTCTACAGACACAGTGATTGGCAGGAGTCGAAGGCCCCGGCTTTGTGACAGATCTCAGCTGCCCTATCTGGAGGCCTTCATCCTGGAGACTTTCCGGCATTCTTCCTTTCTCCCCTTCACCATCCCCCACAGGTCAGGCCATAGAGTCACTGATATTCGATATTAGGCCTTAGTTAGTATACACAGCCAGCTGGGGCTCCTGAGAGGGGCATGGCATGGGAAACAGGGGGTAGATTTCCCCTACGGCCCTGAGCCTGACTGAGCTTCCTCTTTCTCCAGCACCACAAGAGATACCAGTCTGTGTGGCTTCTATATCCCCAAGGGACATTGTGTCTTTGTGAACCAGTGGCAGATTAACCATAACCAGTAAGTTGATGGGGCAGTGGAAACTCCCTGGGTGCACTAGGTCCATCCTCTCCTGAGCTGCAGAACCCATTGCCATTTGGGGACTGACCTAATTGATGCTTATAAGCTCCTGAACATCTACTTCAACTGTCTCTCTTTGCTTACAGGGAACTGTGGGGTGACCCAAACAAGTTCCGGCCTGAAAGGTTTCTCACCTCCAGTGGCACTCTGGACAAGGTCCTGAGTGGGAAGGTCACTCTCTTTGGTTTGGGCAAGCGGAAGTGCATTGGGGAGACCATTGGCCGATTGGAGGTCTTTCTCTTCCTGGCCATCTTGCTGCAGCAAATAGAATTCACTGTGTCACCAGGGGAGAAGGTGGACATGACTCCTATCTATGGGCTGACTTTAAAGCACGCCCGCTGCGAATACTTCCAAGCGCAGACACGGTCCTCTGGGCCTCAGCATCCACAAGCTTAGACTGCCCTGTGTGGTCACCAGAGCAGGGGGCTGTTCCAGGGATTTAACTTCACTCAGAAACACAGACTCTGGGCTTGTGCTTGCCTCCTGATTTGGTCTTGCTTCTCCGCATGCTGATCACAGACACTGGGCACAGCAGAGACCCACTGGAACATCAGAGTCTTCCCAAGTTCACCAGCAACTAGGGGGCCTGAAAGGGAAAGGAGGTCCCTGGGCCTCAGAAAACTCCTGCAGAGCTCCCCAGGTGCTCCAGTGGCTGACTAGTTTGAAAAATGCTTAGAGCAGGTCATGCCAGGATCTGTCAGGCTTAGAGGAGCTGTCCAGAATAGAGGGAGAAGACATCTTAAAATACTGCCACAGGCCTGTCCACGTTTGCCAGGCATTGGTGGTGCACACCTTTAATTCCAGCACTGGGGAAGCAGACGCAGGCAGATCTCTGTGAGTTCGAGGCCAGCCTGGTCTACAGAGCGAGTTCCAGAACAGCCTCCAAAACAATACAGAGAAACCCTGTCTCCAAAAACCAAAATAAACATGCTGCCACAGAAGTGCTTCTGCCATTTACTAGGGCTGGACAGCTTTCCCACATGGGTCTAGGACGATGTCTGTGGTGATCACCTTTATTTGTCCAGGGTACTCCTGTCCTTGCAAAAGCCCCCGTTCCTGCTCTGGAAGTGCTGTGTCTTGTGTCTAGGAAGATCCAAGAACAGAGGGACAGACTTTCTGGGCAGTAGGACCAGGTCAAGAGTAAAGGGATGACTCTTGAGACAAGAGTCTTGTGCAGCTCAGATTGCCTCTGAGCCTGCTGTGTATTGATCGTGAATTACTTACTTTTTTAATGCTTTTACTGACATACCAAGTGCTAGGATACAGTCATTGGTCTCTCTTCTTTACTGTATAAAATGTTCATTTAAAAAATGTTTGTACCAGCTGGGCGGTGGAGATGCGCACCTTTAATCCCAGCACTTGGGAGGCAGAGGCAGGCCGATTTCTCTGAGTTCGAGACCAGCCTGGCCTACAAGAACTAGTTCTAGGACAGGCCTCCAAAGCCACAGAAAAACCCTGACTTGAAAACTCCCCCCCCCCACCGCAAAAAATAAATGTTTGTACCTAAGACCTTTTATTTTGGCCCATATTTTGCTTATGCATTTGTATTAGTCATATCTTAAGAGTTTAGATCAATGCATTTACTATTACAGAGAAAACCCTAACTCAAGTATCCAGAAATATATAGGAACTACCTACCTGAGCTAAATAAAATATTACCTGGAAGTACATGTGGAGAGGTTTTTTGTTGTTGTTATTATTGATTCCTTTTCTTTTTGAGACATGATTTCTCTGTATAACAGTTCTAGTTCTCCTAGAACTCTCTCTGTAGACCTGGCTGGCCTTGAACTCACAGAGATCCACCTATCTCTGCTTCCTGAGTACTGGGATCAAGGCATGCACGACCACTGTCCAGCCATGTGGAGAGGTTTTCAGCCTAAAGTTACAGCCACACTCACACCTTGAGCCCAGTCTTATGCTGTCTTTTCCTGTGGGGACGAGAGGAGCAGCAACAGAGAGGAGAAAGGTCTGCTCTCAGGTGGGTTGTTAGTGGTGCCTGCTTCTCTAACTTTTCACACAGTGACACAGTATATTCTCTTGAACTCTAAAGAAGAGACTGCTTTCTGAAGTCCCCAAAGCTGGTGGAAGGGTCTGATCCATAAGCATATCATCTAATTCATAGTAACCAGGGTTTTACCAGTCTCACATAAGGGAACATGGGTTCAAGAGCTGGTGATGGGGTTAGGTGGGGAGGGATGCTGTGGTCTTAGGTCTTTGGGGGAGTATCTGAGCAGAGCCTTCCTTAAGGATGAGAAGCAATCTCTTGAGGGGCTCACAAATTAATGCAGAAAGCCTCATCCCTCAGGAATGTCAGGGTGGCAGTGTCAGGTAGGGGTGAATACCACAAGTTCTTGAGTAACATGCTGAGGAGACCATGCATCTTGGGTTGTGACCCTTCCTAGTGTCACCCCATTTAACTGTCTTCCCCCCCAAGACAGGGTTCCTCTGTAGCTTTGGAACCTGTCCTAGAACTCACTCTGTAGACCAGGCTGACCTCAAATTCATGGAGATCTGCCTGCTTCTGCCTCCCGAGTGCTGGATTAAAGGCCTGTGCCACCACCTTCTGGCTTCAACTTCCTTCTTGAACAGCAAGTAGTGGTTTGCAGTGACCATTCATGCTTTCTGATTGGAGTAGATAGTTTCTGTTGTGCCTAAGTTGCAAAGTTCCCAGAGACCAACAGGAAAACAAACCCACTAAACTTCAAAAGTAAGGTTTTAATTGTTCATTCAACCATGACAGGGACCCCATCTAGCAAGCTGATACAGCAGCCTCCAGCAGGAGTGAAGTTCCCTGTCTACTGCTAGGTTTTAAAGATAAAAGTGACAGGATTACATCAGTAGGTACTGGTTGGTTTCTGACTGGTTGACATTTGGGAACAATTAGAATTTCTCAAAGTCATATTTTGGCATGAAATGCCTGTGCACCAATTATTTTCATTGGTCAGTGCTGAGAGGGAACATTTTGTGGTTTTTATGGCATTGTCTTGTTACTTGCAAGTGGCCTGTTGTACATAGACACCAATAGTTTTCAGAACTATATCCTGGAGACTACAGGGGAGGTTTTGGTTCCACCTAGAGTTTCTTTGTGTTCAGTTTTTGCCTAGACTCTGGGAGGTCAGACGATCTGGAGTTTCCTTGTGTCAGAGGCCTATGTGTCTTTTCTGTTGCCTGCCATGGCTACTAAAGCAGGGGGCTAAGTGAGGGTCTGGTCCTTTTATTTCTAAATCATTAGAAGTGAAGCCTTTGAGTTTGGTTTATCCCTTTTAGTTTCCATTTACCAAGAGTTTCAGGCTACCATGAGAAGCAAACCAAAGTCAGAGGGAACAATGGTGCCCAGTTACCATACTTACAGTTTTTGTAACAAACAAACAAACTTTGGAGTGGGAAATGTAGCTCAGTTGATAGTTGTATGGTATGCCCCACCCTTGAGTTCCTGTGCTAGCACACATCTGTAATTCTAGCAAGTACTAGATAAAGACAGATGGTCAGAGGTTAAATGTCACTCCTCAGCTACAGAAAGTTTGCAGTTGGCCTTGAATATGTGAGATCCTGCTTGAAAACATCAAACTAATTTGTTCCAGGCAGCCGGGCAGTGGTGGTGCATGCCTTTAATACCAGCACTTGGGAAGCAGAGGCAGGCATATCTCTGTGAGTTCAAGTCCAGCCTATTCTACAAGAACTAGTTCCAGGACAGCCTCCAAAGCCACAGAGAAACCCTGTCTTGAATCCCCTCACCCCCACCGCAAAAAAGAAAAAATTTGTTCTAGGCACTTGGGATGCCTGTTAGTCCAAGGCCAGCCTGATCTATACAGTGAGTTTCAGGACAGGCTCCAAAGCTACACAGAGAAACCCTGTCTCGAAAAATAACAAAAAAATTGTATTATATGTTATAATATAGAAGAACCTATAAACTATCCAGAATAGGCAAATTAATATAGCTAGAAATTGTGTTAATGATTACCAGGAAACACAGGGCAAAGGGATTTGGGAGGTGCATGGTCTCTCCTAAAGATAGGGAAGTTATTCCAAAGCTAGGAGTGATGATTGTATAACTTTGTAAATATCCTAAAAACAAAACAAACAAAAACAAACCAAGGAGGCCTAGAGACAAGGCTCAGCAGTTAAGAATTCTTGCTGCTCCTCCAGAGGACTCAAGTTCCATTCCCAGCACCCTCATAGGGCAGCTCACAATTGCCTGTAAATCCAGCACCCGGGGAACTGACACCCTCTTCTGGCATCTGTGGGCACCTGTACACCTGCCCCCCACGATCATGTGTATATACCCCACCATGACTCACATACCTACAAAAAGTAAATTTTTATAAAACAAAACAAAACAGTGAAGGCAGGCATTGGTGGCGCACACCTTTAGTCCCAGCACTCAGGAGGCAGAGGCAGGCGGATCTCTGTGAGTTTGAGACCAGCCTGGTCTACAAGAGCTAGTTCCAGGACAGCCTCCAAAGCCATAGAGAAACCCTATCTCGGAACAAAACAAAAAACTCCAAAAAACAAAAATCAACCAACCAATCAAGAAAGAAAGAAAGAAAGAAAGAAAGAAAGAAAGAAAGAAAGAAAGAAACAAGTCATGTAACTGTTCTCAGATATGGCCTTGGAGATGGTGATATTATTTTTGCTCTCATGAGATTATAGTATGATGAGGGATAAACAAATGAGTAATTGATAATGGTGTTCAAATTCATCATCCCCTTTATCTTGGGGAACTAGGAGTTTAGAGTCTAGAAAAAAGGAGAGACTGCTGTTACAGTGTAGCATGAATAATAAAACCCAGAGACAGATATTAGTATTTAAGCTGAAGATTAAAAAAGCAAAACAGGTAGCCATTAGTTCTTACCTCTTCCTCAGACGGAAAGGGTGATCCTGGTCTCAGATTGCATCTCCACTGAGCTGCTTCTTAGACTCACTGAGACTCAGTGCCGAATGAGACCCTGAGCTCTTGCCTTACATGCCGCTCTAGTGCTAGGATTAGAGGCACACCACCACTGCCTGGCATCTATGGCTGTGGCTAGCTTTGCATTCTGATCTTCAAGCACCCTTTAATAGATCATAAACAATATATCACCACATAGACGTGGTTAAGTTTAGCCAATATGATGTATCTCTATCTACTTGTCTATCAACTTCCTAGATCTGTTTGTTTTTGGATACAGTGTCTCAATTTGTAGTCCAAACTGGCTCCAACTCTTAATCTTTAAGTCTCAACCTCCTGAGTGTTGAGATTTGCAAGCATGTACCATCATGCCTGGCTAACATCCTAGATTGTAGAGGCAATGGTCATCTCACAGAAATGAGCATTCTAACTTCCTAATACCCAGATTGTGATCCAGGTCTTTATAAGAAAGCAATTGCCCACAAATCTGGGACAGAAGATGTAGTAAAAAAAAGACAATTCTGAAACACTTGGTCATGCCAGATGGTAAAGATAATACGAAGATCCCAGGAATGGATTGAATCACTCTGGAACAAGCTCCAACAGGTTTCAGTTCCTGAAGATAGGACAGCTTGAGTATTGTCAATAATTTCTACTGGGGATGGTGGCACGTGTCTTTAATCTCAAAACTCATACAGGAGATTGCTTTCAGTTTAAATCTGCTTAGGGCTGCATAGCAAGACACTGACTCAAAATAAATTCCCCATAAATTAAAACCCTTCAAGTGTGTTTGAATCTATGAGCTCATAAAATTTTAATTTTCTAAAAAAGGTTTATTTGGGGCTGGAGCAATGGCTCAGCAGTTAAGAGCACTGGCTGCTCTTCCAGAGGACCCAGGTTCAATTCCCAGCACCCACATGGCAGCTCATAACTGTCTGTATCTCCAGTTCTAGGAGATCTGATACCCTCACACAGACATACATGCAGACAGAACACCAATGAACATAAAATAAAACTAAATTATTTTTTAAAAGGTTTATTTATTTGTTATATATACAGTGTTCTTTTTTCATGTATCCCTGCAGTCAGAAGAGGGCACCAGATATCATTACAGATGGTTGTGAACCAACAACTGGTTGCTGGGAATTGACCTCAGGACTTCTGGAAGAACAGCCAATGCTCTTAACCTCAGCCATCTCTCCAGCCCAATTTTTAAAGTTTTATTTTCTTTCTGAGACAGGGTTTCTCTGTATTATTTTGGAGGCTGTCCTGAAACTTGCTCTGTAGACCAGGCTGGCCTCAAACTCACAGGTGTGCGCCACCAACAGATTTATTTTATGTATATTGGTTATTTTGCCTGTGTGTATATATGTGCACTGTGGTGACTTAAAAGAAAACAGCCTCCAAAGGGAGTGGCACTATTATTAGAAGGTGTGATGGCTATTCTTGACTGTAAACTTGATTTTATCTGGAATAAATTATAATCCAGAAATGGGGCCGGGGCTTTGGTGGTATATGCCTTTAATCCCAGCCTTGGGAGGCAGAGGCAGGCCGATGTCTGTGATTTTGAGACCAGCCTGGACAGCCTCCAAAGCCACAGAGAAACCCTGCCTCAAACACCCCCCCCCAAAAAAAACAAACAGAAATGGAGGGAACACCTGTGCTCTGGATCTTGAGGCAAGAAGACAATATGCTTTTGATGCGGATCTTGAGGCTGGATGATACACACTTTTAATCTAGACCTTGAGGCTGGAAGACACACCTTTAGTCTGGACTGCAT